AACCAATTTCTTTGGAAATTCCTTAAAGTTCATTGTTTTATCTTCTCTAAGGTGTATTTTTTATGAAATATTTTAATTCTAGCATTTTTAAGTACTTTTTTAATATAAGAACGGGAAGTCTTGAATTTTCTTGATCGATCTTGCTGTGACTGGTTCAGATTTTTTGCTATTGAACTGAAAATCGACTTTATCTTTTTGGATTTATGGAAAGTTTTCTTTCTTCCACTTGCCGAATTTCTTTTGAATCTTTGAGTAATTTTGAATTTATTTATAATATCTATGACTGTAGGTTTTGGGACATTTGTACATTTAGCAATCAAGCAATATGAAGTCAATGGATTTTTGCAAAAAAAGTTCACAACTTTTATGCACCTCAATTCATTTCCGAAACAAAATTTTATCAACACAATTAAAGATAAGGAAGTAACATTTAATTAAAAAAATAAAAGAAATAAAAAGCAGTTGTGGTTTTAGAGAAATCTATATTTAAAGTTGACCAGATTTTTTCGTTTCCACCCGAAAACAAGAAACAAAAAATACATTTGTGAAAAAAATTCTCTTAAACAAAAGGTTCTACCTTTTTATAAAAAAACTGAAAGTTTTGTAAAAAGGTAAAAAGTTCCTTTCGCTTTTAATAATTTATAATAATCTATCGTGGAGACACTTATATTTTGTAATGAATTAGTTAGCAGACGATTAGAAAAAAACTTCTTTAATAAAAATTGCAAAACTATTTTAACTAGTTTTTTTCACATTATTGAAAGTCTTAAATTGCAAAACTATTTTATTTGAAACTAAGTTTTATATTCAACGTTTTACAATTTTGCATTCCTTCAAAACTAAATTTAAATTTTTAAAATCATATTAAATTTAAAGTCTTTTTAAATTAAAAGTTTTTTTATAAAACAATTTATTTTTTTTTAAATTTCTCAGTTTCGGTTAAATGCTTTTTTTTACAACCTTATATAACATAAATCATGTTAAAAGATAATTTTTTAATTCAAAAAAAAAAAAAACGCTTTCAACATTTACAAAATATGCGAGCTGCGTAACGCTTCTTAACCTGTCAAAGTATTTTTTTTTGTGGCAAATTTAGTTCTTTTATTTTTTCATTAAATTCTTAAATAAAATTTGCAAAAAAATTAAATAGTATTTTTGTTTAAACAGTAAAACATTTTAGTTTTTATTTAGGAAGTATTTAAAATACATTTAAAAATAGAACTGACGATAAAAATCAATAGTCGCCTTTCGGGCAACTCAATTGCATCAAAGGAATATTTTTAGTCACCCTTCACAAAATTCTGTCATCTGGTTCCGTCGGCCAACCACGGTATATATTTCCAAAATTCTTTTGATAGTTCGGTGTCATTTTTGTATTTTAGAATGTTAAATGATTTTATATGGTTAGCATATCTAATTTTGAATGGTGTTTCGCTTATACCAATGTAGAATTTATTGACAGTTGTGTTAGTAGGATTATTGAAACTTATATTAGCTCAGTATAAAATGTTTTTTGTTAAGCATTGGTTTGAAAAAAGGCAGGTAATTTTATTAAAGCAGTTGCAGTTGGTTTTAGGTGGAATTTTTCTGTTGTTCATAATTTGTTGATTGAGTGCATTTAAAATAGATTTCATATTCGGCATACAGCTATAACTTATTTTTATTGTGTTTCTGTTGAAAATTTTGTCGAATTTGTGATTTATTGGGAAGTGTTTTTTGACTAAGGTTAAAAGGCTTTTTCATACATTAGTGTTAACATTTTTGCTGAAATGTGGGTTAAACCAAATGATGTTGCGTTCACGGCTTTTAGTATGAGGTAAATTTCAATTAGGACAGTATCAAAATTTGTGATTAAAACCAGACACACACACACACACACAGGGGTGTGCCCTATGGTTTTTTCCTGGTTGCCCTGCAGACAACTGGAAAAGTTTTTATTTCTCATTGGAGTCGTTCGCTATGATAATCAGTAGTCCAGTGTAATAGTTTTTTTTAGTATTTTTTTACGGGTGAAAATGCTGAAGAAAAAAAATTTAAACGTCTGACTACTAAAATATGTCTAATAAGAAACAGTTTATTTAAAAGTAAATTAATTTATTTATTAATTAAATCAATTGAAGATCTTCATATTTGTTGTAGTCAATATCTGTTTCATATCGTTTCTTTTTATCGATCTTAATAAAGTATTCATTACATGAAGCAAAAAAGTTGAAAGCCTAAACTGCAAAGAAACGTTTTATATATATAAAAATATTCCATTATTCAATATCAATCTTCAATCAAATTTAATTTAGTTGAATGTTTAAAACATTATGTTTTATATGTTTTAAACGTTTTTCATTATAATAAAAATTGTTTTTTTTTTAGAAAAAAGAATTTCCAAATGCATAATTAATTGTGTTCTAATAATGATTTTTCTTGTGTATCTTAACAATGTTTTTTATTTTGTTAATTTTCTTTGACAAGGTTAAAATAATAATTTATTTAACTAATGAAAAAGTATAAGAGATTCAGTATTTTTAATAATTCAACTACCCATTCACATGATTCAAAATGCAACTTTATGGTTTAAAAAATGACACATTAGCCTTCAGAATTGAAAGAAAATGTAGTTTTAAAATTCATTTTAAATTGATAAGAATCGTGCTTCAAAATGCAACAACAACATTTGAATAATCAGTAGCGTTGCACTTCAAAATATTAAATCACATGTCGACTTCTTTTGATAAGTTTGGTGAAATTCGTAGTAAATTCATTATTAAACAAAATGTATACTATTTTAAATGCTTTTTAAAGTTTAAAGTTTAAAATCTTCATAAATCAAATATGTTTTTATTATTCAATACACTTTTTTAAGTAACAAGCTGTCTGGTTGTCATGCCAGGCTACTAACAGGCTTTTTCAGATACCCTTGGGGAAAAGGAGTTGCTCTGTACCACCACACAACCATGAGGTTACACCCTTGATATATATATATATATATATATATATATATATATATACATACATACACATATATATATATCCTTATATCGTTGTCGAAAGAGACTTTTATGGTAAAAAAGTCTCTTTCGACTACAATTTTAATTACCTCAGCTCTTAAGGTGTATTTAATTGTTGTTGAAATGTCAAAGCAATTAAATTAATGCGGAAGTACATTAAATTTTATTGTTTTTAAAAAAAACCACAATAATAATGACTAGAAAGTTTTTTTTAATTAATGCTGTTTTTGTTGTTGTTTTATTAAAATATATTTTTAAAACATGTGTAGAGCGTTGCTGCATCGACTATTATATAGCTTGCTGCTACAAGGGAGTGTTGCTACATCGACTATCTTATAGTCTGACTTGCAACAGAGTGTTGCTACATTGACTATCTTATAGCCTGACTCAAAGTGGAGTGCTGCTACATCCACTGACAAATAGTCTGACTCGTAAGGGAGTGCTGCTACATCGACTGACAAATAACTTGACTCGCAAGGGAGTGCTGCTACATCGACTGAGGGTTCGGATTGGGTAGGCAGTCTATCATTTGAAAAAAATATATATTTTTTTAAGTTTTAAAACTATTTCTAGTCTGGTTTATTAACGCGCTCTTTAAAACTACAATTTTAAAGTATGGGAAAAACTTTCTGACTACCTTGCGGATTTTGTTCAAATGGTATCTAATTCTTTCTTTAGACTATTTATAAATCATATTTGCACCATGACTTCATGAATTCATATATATATATATATATATATATATATATATATATATATATATATATATATATATATATATATATATATATATATATATATATATACATGTATATATATATATATATATATATATATATATATACATGTATATATATATATATATATATATATATATATATATATAAATATATATATATATATATATATATATATATATATATATATATATACATGTATATATATATACATAGATATATATATATATATATATATATATATATATATATATATATATCGAGTTAAAGCTCTCCCTTCCCTCCGAGAGAAGGGAGAGCTTTAACTTTTGCTCTCGCCCACACTCCCCTAAAACAGTTTACAGGAGCAATTTACAGCTCTCACAAAAGTATAATTTTTTCTCAAAAGTTTAATTATCATTGTAGCTAAAATAAAAAGCGCAGTCATTTTAATAATTATCTTTAACAATTCTTAAAATACCTGCATTTATTACAATACGAAAATATATACTTTTTTTATAAGCAATAAAAACAATGTTCGTCTGAAGAATTTAGAGAAGTAGCTTGCATATATATATATATATATATATATATATATATATATATATATATATATATATATATATATATATATATATATATATATATATATATATATATTATGTAGGTTGATTGTAATAAAAAGGCAGCGTATAACTATTTTTAAATATATTTTGGTGTAAAAATATATTAACAATATTTCGCTGACCTATTGTGGTCAGCGTCATCAGGTAATAGTAAAACGTTACAAAATAACATTAAACAGACCGTTTAAAAAGAAGACATTAAAAAGCATCAAATATAAAAACCAATTCATTATATTTTCAGCTATTTTGGTACATAGTGGACTTTTTATTTCAAATGATTTTGCAATTATATTATTTGATATGCATTTTTGAAGAAAAACCAGTTGAATTTTTGCGATTGCATTTTGTATCTTTTTTTGTTTTATTGTAAATCTCTTTTCCATAAAGAGCAGTGATAAAATCTTTAAAAGTCATTTCTTGTTATACGATATATATATATATATATTTTTTTTTTTTTTTAAATTTTCAAAACATATTTAAACACATTTTTCAAATTTTATGAAAATTTTTTAAATGTTCCAAACTTTTGATCGTGACTGTATATATAATGAAAGAGAGAGAGAAAGAACTAGCTTTAATTTAATATTATATTTTATGATTACAGGTATTGTAAGCTGACTTTTTATTTATTGCTTATAATTTTGTTTTATATTCAGTTTTAGTGTAGATACAAGCATATTGTTTGCTTCATCACAATTTGAAGATCCTGAGACACTACTTTTTAATCTGGGCTTTTGTCCAATGAACAACTCATCAATACCTGCAAGATTTTTTGAACAACCTTCGGCTGCATTAGGAATTGATGTTGAAGCTATTCATCGCTCAATGGTTTTGTCAAATGAAGACATAGTAAAAACCTTATTTTTGCGTAGTCTGCTAATGCATACAACCTTATTAAAACATTTTTTAATCATTTTTATTATTTAAACATATTAAGTAGTTTTATTATATATATAGTTATCTGTTTTGTTTTTTTGTTTTTTTTTATTCTAATTCACCTCCTCAAGGCCGAGAAGGCCACTACAGATGAGGAGGCTACTTATTTTGTGGCTATAACCCTCTCTTAACTCTATAACTCTGAAACACGAACCTTGATGAACAAGGCTGCTGCGTGGAGAAACGAGTTGAGCGCGGTACTACCAGGGACGTGGTGGGGATCAAACTCGGAACCACTCGTTTATGAAGCGAGCGCTCTACCACTACACCACTACCGCATTTTATATTTATTTAATGTTTAATCTAATATATGATAAAATATAAGTATAATAACCATTATAAATCTATATTAAATTTGATACTAATTTAAAAATTTTTATTCCAATTTTTTCAGTATGTTCCTTCAATAGATGAGTCTCCATTTAATCCAATTTCTCACCCACGATTCAGTGAAAGTAGTGTTGACATAACATCAAACTCAAGTGATAATTTTTTACCTCCACATATTCGTAGGGTACTCTTTTACGGCAACAATGAAAATGTTCCTTCCATCCAAGTATCTCAAGATCGTTCAGTGACACCATCCTCTGCAGGTAGCAACAGAAAAAAACTGACTACACTGGAAGAAGTACCAGAACCAAGTAGTAATCGTGGAAGTTTTGACATGGATAAGCAAAAAATAATACTTGATAATTATGCTTGCAATAACAATCCGGTTGTAGAAAGCCAAAGCAATCTAGTTGAGTCATTAAAGTTACCACTAACTCAAAAAATATCAATTAGCGATAGAAGCACTTGTAGTTTGATGACTGTTGTTAATAGTAACAATGACAATAATTTAGAAAATTCTTTGCATAGGTTTCAACCGATTCGTATAGATGCTGAGTTTGTAAATGAAAAATCTAATGCTTTATCTAGTGATGATGTTTTTTCTCAGGTGCCTTCTGTTGATCCTTCAGCATTAGCAGAGACTTTTGCTGAGAATTTACCAGAGGTTGTTCCAGAACTTCCATTTAAAACAAATGAGAGTGTTGTATTCTGTTTAGGTGATGAGAAAATTGGTTCATCGCTTGATGTTAATGTAGATTTATTAAATGACATAGCCAGTAAAAGGTTTTTGTTTTCAAAACATTCTGAAAGTGTTGATACTCAGGAATCAACTTCAAATAATAATGCTGTTAGTAAAGAAGCTTTTAAAAGTGATTTAGTGAATGCAGATTTAATTTTGAATAATAACCTGCCAACAACATCATCACCTCAACTTAGTCATAATTTTCTTGGTTTCTTTAAGAAGTTAAACATTGATGGTAAAGATGACCAAGTAAAAAGCCCAAATCAATCTATTTTTGCACAAAGCAACAATGAGACAAGAAAAATAAACTCAGTTACACCTAACAAAAAAAATTTTAAAAATGGAAAAAATAAAAATTACATTTCCTCGGCATTGCATTCATTATCAAAGATCTTGAGTCCAACACATATTCCTAAGACAAAAAATCATTATGATTCAGGGTCAGCTAGCAGTGATAAAGTAGATGTGAATAAATATGACGATAGCACTGCATCTATATGCTTTGATTCATTTGTTGGAACATCTGGTTCCATTAATAGTATTGATGAGAATAGAGAATCCAAAGAACTATATACTCCAGTAGTACAGCAGGTCCATAAATGTCAAAATTGTGCATATTTTTTTGAAAATAATGACTACAAGAACCATATTCAAACAACTTTTCAATCCAACAGTTTGTCCAAAATCTCAAGCAGTAAATTTCCTTCAAAAAATCTTTTTAAATCTCCTTGCAATGAAAATAAGTCTTTGTATTACGAAGTAAAAGATCAAGGTATGGAAAGCAGTGGTTATGAAGAAGATCATTCTGATTCAAAAGAGGATCATTCAAATGTAAAGTGTCCTTTTGGAAAAAATTGTTCTTTAGATCATACTCAGAGAAATGCTCACAATGTATATAAAAAAGAAAGTATATGTGAAGTGTGTGAAAAAAATACTCAAGTTGGTGATTTTAATATAAACTTATCTCATAATCATTTTACATACTTGTTAGAACAGATATCTTTGCTTCGTGCTGAGATTTTTGAACAAAATAGGTTACAAACATTAAGGGAAAAGGATTTGAAAGAGCATTTTACAGATCTTATATTTGATGTATGTATTTTTCGCATCTTGTCTTTATTGATTTTTTCCCTTTTTATTAAACTCTATTTTATTTTATATATATATATATATATATATATATATATATATATATATATATATATATATATATATATATATATACATATATATATGTATGTATATATATATATATATATATATATATATATATATATATATATATATATATATATATATATATAAACATATATATATATATATATATAAACATATATATATATATATATATAAACATATATATATATAAACATATATATATATAAACATATATATATATATATATATATATATATATATATATATATATATATATATATATATATATATATATATATATATATAAACATATATATATATATAAACATATATATATAAAAACATGTAAATATATATATACATACATATAGCTGTTTTATTCATACCTTATTTGTATTACTAGTTTATACTTTATTGATACTATTTATTTATATTTACTTACTATAAATATATTTTAACTAGATAAAGCTTCAAACAGAAGGTGTTTACTTTGATAACCTCTGTAAAGAAATATGTTTACTGAAAAAATCACTTCAGGTAAAAAAAAATTATATTGCTTTAGTTATTATTTAAAAAAATTAATATAAAAAGGTATGCTTTAATTCATAATATACCACCATGCTCATCATTCACACATGCTCACCATGCTCATCTTTCACACAGTTGATAATATTATATATACAATGCTTATTTTTCACAAGGTTTATAAAAGTATATACACTTTGCTCATCATTCATACAGCTTGAAAATTAACAATTTAAAAGAAATATACTTTCTAAAACCTTTTTATAGTTTTCAAAATTAAATAGTAAACAAGAAATTATGGCACTATTTTATTTTTATACAATTATACTTAATAATTTTTTTATATTTGAAATGTTCATATGTGTATGTGTATATATATATATATATATATATATATATATATATATATATATATATATATATATATATATACACACATATAAATAAATAAATATATATATATATATATATATATATATATATATATATATATATATATATATATATATATATATATATATATATATATATATATATATATATATATATATATATATATATATATATATATATATAGTATACATACCTACATACATTGCAATTTTTTTTCTTCAAATTATTTTGAATAGCTGCTCTCGCATCTAAACATTAGAATGGAAAAAAAAAGAAAATTAATTTTTTCTTCCTTTGTATTAATCATAAGAAATGATCAGGATATTGTTCTAGAATAATAAGCCCGATCATTTCTCATGACCAATACAAAGTTTTATAGTTATTATATATGTACTTTTTACTGTACTTGATTAAACAAATCATCTGATAAAATAATGGAGTTTATTATTCTTGCATATTCCATTTATTTTTTGAAGCAAAGTGTGGAATTTATGTTCAGGATAAAATTTGCTCAAATATATCTGTCTCTTTTTATTTCTCCAAAGTTACCTGCTGCTGCTTCTGTATCCAATTTAACATGAAGCAAATTGGTTCCTTAGTTTGCACGTGTTTGCAAACTAAGGATTCAATTTGCATACAAACTAAGGATTCGATTTGCTGTTATCAGCAATGAATGTCAAGAATGAACCAATAGGTTATGGTCTTTTTTTGTTTAGCTTTCTTTCACTTTGCCTAATTCTATTGTCTTGCATGTGTTATAAAAATACTGTTGCTAATACTATTTCTTTGAAAAAATTGTGATGCTAATACTATTTCTTTGAAAAAATAGTGATGCTAATACTATTTCTACTATTCTTTACTAATACTATTTATCACAATCTCCTGTCTGGCATGTCACAATTCGTGACACTTTGCAAGTGCTTTCCTAATGTTGCCACTAAACACAGTAGGTGGTGGAATCTAGATGCAATGCTAAATGTTTAATGGTAGCTTATTAAAATTGAACACACACACTAACCATTGAACTGGATATGCATTTTCTGTAATCTTATTAGATCATTCTTCACATCAGTATTTACACTAGTTCCATCAGTACTTGCACTAGTTCCATCAGTATTCACATTATCAAGTGATGTTTTGTTTTCATCAAAAATATATATAATAACATTCTTGATATTTGATGATGCATTTGTTGGAGAAACATGACAAAGAAAAATGGAATGGGGCTCTTCTATTAAAGTGATAGGTTCTTTAGTGATTAAGTTGCTACAAGTTGCTAATGCACAATTTTAAGCCTACTGAACACGTGTAATAATCTAGTTCTAGGCAGTTGGTGCTTAACCCTTTGTCTGCTTGATAAAATTAAAAGATACTTAAAAAAATTCAACTAAAAAAACCAAAAATGGAAAAAATATATATATTTTGAGATTTGTATGCCATTTTTCAAATAATAACATCTACATAATTTATAAATAAAAATGTTTAGCCCTCATTTAATAAATAATGAACGATATTTAGAAAAGTAATAATTTTTTGCAATAAAGGTCATAATTTTAAAGATTAGTTTTCAAAGCCAAGGCTTGCTGCAGTCAAAGGGCTAAACTTAATTCAGACTATGATTTTGTGTCATGTTTCTTTATAATTCCATAATCTGAAAGTGTGTCGTAGCAATTGCAGGTCTAGAAGCAATTGATACATTATATCTGTCACATTCTCTGGCAACATTTGGAAACTATCATATTTCTTCCAGGTTCACTCTTAAATTCACAGAAATTTGAATACTGATTGTCATCGAGTTAATTTTATGCATCTATATCAAAGGTGATACTAACTGATGCTTCCATACTACTTTTTTTAGACTAAAAAATATCATTATATTTCTTTCTCTTTGTGTTTCTCTCAAATGCTTTTATTAATATAAAAGTATTTTCCTCATCTAAACCAATAACCATATTTCATATCTTTGATCCATTTAAAATTTATTCTCAAGTTAACCATAACCATATTAACTCAAGTTGACCAATGACCATATTTTTTTCATTTCTTTGATTTATTAAAAATTTACACAACTTTGATTTTCTCAGGCATGTGCAATTACCAGGGGCATGCTGGCTCCAAAAAGCACCTGCGGCATTTTTTTTTAAAAGGCCCACATTTGTATATATATATATATATATATATATATATATATATATATATATATATATATATATATATATATATATATATATATATATATATATATCAATAAAAAACTGACCTTATCCAGTTAAATCAACATACTAAAGCAACGAGTTATAATTGGATTTCCTTAAAATTAAAAATGGCACCGTGCTGCGTGCACGTTTTATGTTTTCATTCCTAAAAATAAACAAATTTCAGCGTTTTTATGGCAACCAAAAAGGATTTCTATTTTATTGTTTAATAAACATTAACATTAAAATTTAAAAAGTATATATTATTATACTAAATATATATATAATTTATTATATATTTTTGTTTTAGCGTTATTACATATACAAGAATTATTGTATTTTAAAGTTTTCGAAAGAAAACTAATATATTATATTTTAGTAATATGGCTAAATAACTGTACCATTATTTAGCGTATTATTAAAATATATAGATATATATATATATATATATATATATAATTATTTTAATAACTGTTAATTTAAAGATTGATAGATTATAAATAATTGTAAATCTTCACTCACGAAAAAAATGTGTACCATATGGAACACCCTGAGCCATAGAGAAGTGATGAAACATTATTTATAAACTACAAGGGTACAGAGTACAAGAGGGAGTGTTTATTAGCATTACAAAAAACAACGGTGGTCTTATCAACTGAAGTTCAAATTGAATGTTTACAATTTTTAGGATTTTCTATTCTATATAAAATCTTAAAAAAAAAGAAGCTATAATTACAACAAAAATGGAATTTTACAACTATGTTCTTTGAAAAAAAAAGCTGTTACTAAAGTTTATAATGCTAAATATTAGTTTCAACGTATTTACAGTCCCTGAAATGAATGAATTTGGAATACTGTAAAATAGAATTAAAATGCTTTATTTATTTATTTGTAAAAATATTTAACTACTTTTTAAATATCTGTAATGTAATGATTGATTATTTCTTCCAATATTAACTTTGTTTTGAGGCAAAATTTACAAACGGCTGCATATTATTATGCAAAATACTAATATATATGCGCTTGAAGTCCAACAGTTTGAATTAGAGGTTTGTTAAAGAATTTAACTTGTGGAATAAAAAATAAAGCAAATAAGTATCATTTGTGAATCGTTTTCAGAATGCAGTAAAGGGTATAAAAATTTTAAAAAAAGGCCCTTCTAGGATAAATAGCGAAAGACCCAAGTGGCATTCCCGCATAGCCTCTGGGGCCAGCATGCCACTGGCAATTGCTTAAATTAAGACATTGACATGCTGCAATGTCAATTACAACTAAACTTTCCATATTAGTAATTGATACTGCTGTCTTTGGTTCACCTTTTTCTTTAAGAATCATTCCCAAGTTATTGTGGAAAGACTCTACTTTCTGCTGCACTCTTTGCATAGTAACAGTCTGAATGCTAGATTTCAACCAAATGTCAGTAACATTTTCAGAAACTCTAGAAACCACCGTGTTTGACCTAATAGTCATGGGTGCCAGAAAGAGGACAAGTCAGCTGCCCTCTTGTAAAAGTCGTAATTTGCCATAGAAATCAAACTAGTATTAATTTTCTAAATAAATATTTAGTTTTACTCAATCTGCAAAACAAATTTCTAGAAAAAGATTTATTCTCATATACGCCATTTGCAGATCCCCTCTCCCCCATTTGATTCACAATATGTAGGTATGTGAGTTTTATTGTTTTGAGTTGTTATCAAAATTAAAAAATTAAAGATTATTGACCTATATTTTGTGAAAAACTTGCTGGTATGTGAAAAACTTGCAGGTAAAAAAAGGTAAAGTTCTGAGAAAACTTTATTTATTATTCAATTAATTTTAGATAAGAGGGACAATTCTATTTTTTTTTTTTTTTTTGCTAATTTTAAAAGTTACTACACCATTAAGTGTTGGCTGTGTTTGCCTTAAGCATATTAGAGCAAGATCAAAGGAGCTGTTTACAGTTTTTAATTCATTAAGTTGATGAAGTCTAACCTAATGGTCTTTTCCATAAGCTTACTTCATATAGTGTTTTTGTGAAAGTTTTTAAAAAATTTTAAATCATTTTTTTCTAACCGCAGTATTAAAATATCGTTTGATTGAAAACTCTTTCCATTACTAGTTAACTCTAAGATAGTAAAAAGTTCCATTTTTGGTCCTGTGATGTTCCTTATCTGTGTTAATCCTGATCATTGATTGTCATTCTAATAATTGTGGCTTTATTTGCTGATGGCTATAAATAAATTCTAGTCTTGATAAAAAATCATCATTTTTCGATTTCTTTGGTTTCATTTTTCAATAGGCATCCGATCTTGACCTGTTTTCTTTGAAAGTTTTGGGCCAGCAATTGCTTGCTTAACCCTTGCTGTAATTACTTGCTTAACCTTTGCTGCAATTGCTTGCTTAACCCAATTAAAGTTGTTTACTGCGATGGTGATGAAAATTTGGCAACAAAAGTCAATATAGGACTGGTTCATCTAATGATGCCCAGCTCAAAATTATAAATATAGTTAGATCTGCTCTAGCTGCCAAGCGGTCTTATTAATGTAAGGTTTTATATATTTAAATACTATTATGGTTGCTATGGTTATGTTAAATACTATTATTTAAAAACTTTGGCATGGTTGCTGTTATATTAAATACTATTGTGGTTGCAAGCAAGCATTTGTCTTTTTTTTTTTTTTTTTGTTTCTATTCACTCCCAATTTAATTAGTGGTTGCTTGCAGCAACTTAAGCAGTGGTTGTTTGCAGTCTTCTTGAGAATGCATTTGTTATATTTAAAAGAAAAAAAGCAATCCTTCATCAGATAAATACTTTTGTTAATTCTAAATATGATTTAAACCTAGAAGCATATTCTATTATGATATGATCTACTTGTCAAAAAAATTATTATCTACTTGATCTATTATGATTCGATCTACTTGTCACAGAAATTATTATCTTCTTGATCTAGAAAAAATATCTCAAATCTTCTTGGTTATTAAAGGTATCCAAAAGGTTTTAAAATATTTATAACAAAGTTTCGTTTTCAGCATTTTTAATTTAAGAATATTTAAACATAAGTGATAAAAATTGCAATTTTTTGAAAGGTTTAAAGGTTTTTTAAAATCAGAATAATAATTCATGTTTAAAGGTAAATCAAACTGTTATGCATACAAGTAGAATCAGTAGTCAAATGAAGTGTTGATATAGTTGATATTGTCCAATTTGCTTATTGGTTTTGATATTGGTAAAAAAATTTCAATTTCTTGCAAAGTTAATTCACTTGCAAGTTAAATTTAATAATTAAATCTCTTTTTCTATCCTTCACTCTATACAAGTTTTATGACTTGGATTTGCAAAGAGGAGGTTTGTGGTCCTACAGCACTTTTTTGTTATTAACAAAAAACAAATGATTTTTTCAGATTTTTAATAAAATAAGCTAATTTCAAGAATAATTGAATTTTTAATAGGAAAATGTTTGACAACTCTAGCTTGAATTAAATTATCATTAAATAAAAAATCACAAAATAAACATCGTTGTTTGTGGGTTACAATATAGGTGTATACATATATTGTAATACTATATATTGTTATAACATATTGTTGTATATTGCAATATATATATATATATATATATATATATATATATATATATATATATATATATATATATATATATACATATATTGTTATACTGTGGTCATGCTCTTTGACCTCTAAAAAATCTTAGAGCATTTGAAAATCTTGGTTTGTTGACTCAGAAATATATAAACGGTAGATGTGCAATAAGAAAAATATCAAACTATTAATAAAAGATTTAGATAAGAATACTTAAAGATGTTAAAATCAATAACTTTGATAAAAGACAGCTTTATCTCCAAAACATTTGTAGTTCCACCAGAATTACATTACATGATGGGGAGGTTGGAATTTTAAGCAAAGTGCTATTATTTATATATGTTCACAGGTTTACTTTGGAGTTGGATCGGTTAGAAAAATTAAAATTATTTAAAAATGATACTACATTACTAATTAAAAATGATAACTACATTAAAAAATGTTATAGTGAATCACATTATTTTATTTCTAAAAGATTGGTCTGGGGTATTTATAAGAACGGGCTCGTGAAGCAGTGCATAATAAATTTAAACTTACCTGGAAAAAATAAATTCAGCACACAACATAGTAAACATAAAAAGGAAAAAAAAGGCTGTTGTTGACTTTAATACAAAAAATATCACTTAATAAAATAACAAAGAATTATCACATAATAATAATACATTTATTGTTATCATGGGCTAATTTAAGATTTTTTAGTAATTGAAATTGCTGATTTGGCTCATATGTAGTATATATCAGGTAGTGTACTAACTCTTAATTTTTTATATTTATACTAGTCTCAAATGAGAATTCTTTACCAAAAATAGTCGTAATTGAAGCTTGGAAACAAAAATATCACTTTGATATTGCCCCCACCGGCCTTAATAAAAGGAATTTGATTTTTTTTTTTTTTTATGTTTATCAAAAGTAAAAACTGATGACAATGTATAAAATTCTTTAAGTTGAAGGGGTTTTATATTGACTTTTTTTTTAAAATAGCACGGAAATTTGATTTTAAATTTTTTTCAATTGCCGTAAATTAGTAGTGACAAAATTAATCATAAATTTAGAATTGACACATATTTTGGCGGTCAAGTTTCAGAGCAGTACACACTTCTTTTGAGTGTTCTATATTATTTTTATAAAAACTAAAAGATTGACAGGAACAAAAACTTGAAAAAAGATATTCTTGTTGAAATATATTGTTGAAAGTTTACTATTAGTTTTTTACTACTGGATTTTATAACAGTTGACATTTTAAATGTAACATAAAAAAGATTTTTTTATCTAAATACAAATTTTTTCATTAAAATAGCTTTTTTGCATTTGTTTTCTCTACTAACCATTATCTTCCTATTCATTTCAATTTTTTTTTTTACTTAGTGTGGTTTTAGGATTTTGCAGTGGTCTTTTCTTTTTTTTTTTTTTTAATATTTTTTTTTCAATCATTTCCATTATATGTAAGATCAGTTGTATCGTTATCTTTTTAATGAAAAAGTTTAAAAGTTTTACAAAATAAGACAAGACTTTACTTAACAATGATTGCATTAATAACTTCTACTTAACAATAGTTGTCTCTAGTTAACAATCTCTAGTTAACGATCGTTTTATGAACTTAACTTAAAAGGTTAAAAGTTCTTTATTCCAAGATTTTTTACTAGCTTGGCATAATCTCTACTTGGTCTTGAAACTTTAAGAAAACAATTAACTTATTTTCTGTTTTTTACATTGCTAAAACGGAAACTCCAGAAATATTGATAAAATTTTAATAGATTTTATATTTTTTCTTTAAAATTTAAAAAAATGGTTTTGTTTTTGTATTTAACAAAAAAAATTCATTTCTTCTTTTTTATCTTTTTTTTCTTCTTTTTGATAATTTTTTTTATGTAAAAGACTTATGATCGAATATTCAAGAAGAAAATTAAAAGCTGCTCACCATATAATTTTTCACAATATTAATAATAATGTTACATTTCAAAAATTAAATTTTTAAATTTAAAAAAACCTTATAAGTTCTTTTTTTATTTTGTTATTTTTTTTTTTATTATTATTATTTAGTGTTGTTTTTTTATGTTAAGGAAAAAGACTTAGAAATTTTACGGTTGAAGAACGATCGCAGTTCCGATAAAAACTCAAAATAAAGATGTTTAAAATTTTATGAGACTTTTTCTTGCTCGTTTTATAAAACTTTCCAGTAGGTTTATATTATATCAGTTTTTGATTTTTTAGTTATTTAGTAATATATTTTTCTAAAGCTTTCCAATATTTTCGTATATAACTTTTACATACTTGATAAATATTTTCTAATTTTGCATCAAATTATTTAATTATAAATTTCATGTGAATAAGTTTATATATTTATATTGGTATTTTTTGTGCTAGGTTTATTAGTTTTATGTAAAACGTGTTTTGTCGAAATTTGATTGGCTAATTTATGGTTTTTTGTGTATATTTTTTGACACAAGCATATTTACTATTTAAAAAGCACACACATTCGCTATTTAATAAAACACATGTAAAAATTTGTATTTTGGATGCTATTAAAAAATTTTTAGATTAAGTTTGATTCTCACTTATTCTCTTTTATTATGATTTAATTTTTATTTTCTTTCTGTACTGCTTAAAATCAGTTTTGGACCAAAATCCTTTCATCATATTTGTATAGTTTGGGAGAAAGAAATAGCTTTGAAAAAATGCAATTTTTAAATATTCTTGTAAACAATCTATTTCATCTAGATAAAACATAATAAAATAAATTATTTTGTAAAGATGACTTTGGCAACTATTACTCTTCTATTACTATTGTTTTTTTCTGACGTTTTGCGTAAATTTAATCCATGAATTTGCTTTTAATGATTAATCGTCAACGTTTTGATGTAAAGTTGTACGTTTTTTCTGACCGCAATTATGTTAATCGGAGTTGATAAAAGGCGGAAATTTTCTCCCCTCTATTTTTCTTTCGCAGCGATTAGCGGTTGCCTTCCAAAAAATATTTTGGTTGCAGAATGTTCTGGCATCCGTCAGACTGTTTTTTGAAAGCAGATTGTTTTGGAGGTCGCCGCCTTAAAAACCTTAAAATACAGTCTCGAAAAAAAGCCTAAGACCACTTGCGAAAAACTGAAAATTTAATGAAAAAATTATTACAGTACAAAAATTAATTGGGAAATTATTTTTTGATTATTTGATAATTATTGGAAAACTGTGTTAACTAGCTATGGTTTCTAAATAAAAACTTATACACGCTCAATTTTATTTTAGGCACCAAAGTATAGCATTTATACGTGGTGGTCTTAAACTTTTTTCCAAGACTGTAAATTAATTTCATCATCAGAACTAAAGTTAAAATTTGAAAATTTCACTTTAATGCTATACTCTCAGGTGCTCTCTAAGATCTGAAAAAAAAGTTCCAACCACCCTTTTTTTTCTCACTTGTATTAAGGTGGCACGCCCCCAGTCAAAAAATTTCCTTAAAATTAATCAAAACAAAATTAAAAAAATCATCACACAAAGTTGAAACAAGTATGCTAACTTTACTTTTCTAAATATAAAATCTTGATTTCCCAACTTTTGCCTCACTTTCTTCCATAAAAATTACGCAAAAGTGAGAATAATTTTAAAAAATATATCTCCATTTCTATAAATCATTAAGTTATAAAATTTTAACATTATGTCCCTAAAAGATGTGAAGAGGTTTAGAGAGTATTATTATTGCTTTTTTAACTTTTTCTTAAGTTTATTTACTACTTATACTATGTAATTGTTATTACCACTATAATTGCTATTATCTAATATTGATTGTATAATATCTTTATTATTATTGTTAGTATTATTACTAATAATATTCCTTTTCATCGTCATCTTATTATTATTGTTAATATTATTTCTATAATTATTATCAATACTATTATTATTGTTATTATAATCACTTTTATTGTAATGTTGTAGGTTTTTACTTTAGATTAGTACTTGTACTATTTGTAAAAGTCCTTGAAATTTTACAACTTATTTCAGAAAAAATATATTGAATTGAATTGTTATGAACCAGAATCATGCATTGAAGATGCATAGAACATTTTAATAGTAATTTTTAATAGATTTATAAAATATTTTAACAAAAACATATTTAACACCATATGACACCATATTTAATTATAATATACTATAAATAAGATATTGTTGTTTAGAAGCTTGACAAGTTGAAATTTTCTTGTTTAAAAATGTGTTCCTAAGGCGTTGCTATGGACCTCAAAATCCTAGTATGGATAAAGTACACACATTTTTACATATTTATTTATTTCATTAAAAAAAAATTATAAATATGTTCTATGAACTAAAAATATTAATATTTAAAAAATTGATTTTTAAAAAAAAAATTCAAAATTAATGGGGGTGTACTACCTTAAACACCTGAGAGAAGATGATAAATTCATTTCGACAAAAAAAAAATTGATAATTAAAAATTGTATAAATTGTGTATGAAAGTATGACACCCAAACATGGAAACTTTCGATGTTTGGGTATAGCACTTTCAAGCAGTTATAAAAGTTGATTGAAATAAGAAGTGCAAAATTTTTATGAGCAAATCAACATTTTTATGAGCAAATCAACATTTTTATGAGCAAATCAACATTTTTATGAGCAAATCAACATTTTTATGAGCAAATCAACATTTTTATGAGCAAATCAACATTTTTATGAGCAAATCAACATTTTTATGAGCAAATCAACATTTTTATGAGCAAATCAACATTTTTATGAGCAAATCAATTTTATACATGTAATAAAAAAATTTAGCTTTAAACATGCCTTGGAGTGTTCTTTATAATTACATGGCTTCTTATACTAAATATATTGATAGGCATGTACAAAATATAACTAAAATCTAACATGTAGGGAAAAGGCGCCTATGATGGCTTACTTAACTTTGAAGCTTCATTATTCAGTATCCTGAAGACCAAGAACAAAAGTTTTGATATGGATACATTCTTTGTTACATGAAGAACACAAATAACCTTAGGGAGTTTTCATCAGATTTATTTTTTTATTAGCTATTTTTATTTAAAAAAAAAGCATAAGTATGCCATCATAGGCAACTACTGCTCCTATGATGACATAGGGCAAAATGGGGTTGGTTAGCATCAAAGGTAACTTATCAATTTCATTTGACCAATAGTCTTCCCTCAGAAATGCCAGAAATTATGTCTAATCGTACTAATTAACCGATTCGTGCTACACAGCAGCAGTGTCGAATTTGGCGTATGTGCATAAGAGATATTGCGTTTTATGCGTTTTTTGAACTACAATTTTTTTAGTAAAGTAAAAATTCCTTTTTACTTCAATAACAAGTATGTTGTTTTTATAAAGAAAAAAAAGGTTTTTTCCACTCGTCAATATTGCAACACACCTAACTCGTCAGTATGCCATCATAGGAAGAAGTCATTATTTTCATTTAAAAAGCTGTGTCTGTCTTGTTCAAAAGATAAAATTAAAGTAAGTATATATATAAATATATATATTGAGAGTTTTTTTTTCAATTTTCAAAAAGATTTTTGCATATAAATAAGTTGATTTATTTCTTTTTTTTAAATATTTTATGTAGAGTTTTCGTTGTGTTTTTAGGGATTTTTTAATTCCACAAGTAATCCATGGACAGTTCAAATATCTTACTTTAATTATTTTTTCTTTAATCGGAAAATCATCATTATGATGTTTTTGGAAAATATCTACAAATGTATTATATGCAGAAATTGTGTCCACAAGGTTGTATTTTTTAAATACTTCATCTCAGTCTGTTCGACACGATTATTTTCTTTTACTCAACTAAATTATTTATTTACTAGACGATAAGGAAACATCGAAATAGCAGAGCGAATCGAGACAAGTTCCTATAGTATCGAGGTACTACTCATACGCTGAGAGGGATTCTACTTTTACGGCCAAATATAATTCCGAACTTTTAGCAGCGCACTAACTAACTGAGTTATCACGGCTCAACTATTAGCACTGGTCACAACACTGATCATTGAACACGGCTCAACATCAGACACTGATAGCGTGTCTTTGAACTTTTGAATAGAAATTTTATTAATTTTTTCTTTCATCAGTTTTGGTTTTAGAATTGTTATTTATTCTTGAATGTATCTTAATTTTTTGAAAAGTAAATATGGAAGTGATCCAAAATACCGATTTTAATTTTGCCTGCTTTTAAAGAGGAATCTAGAAATGCGTTTGTCAAGATGTTATCTGTAGCGGAAATTGAATTTTGGTTTATTCGCGTAGGTTTGTTTATGATTGGAAAGATACGATCTTGTATTCTTTTTGTATTTTGCAGAATAATTTTTTTTTTGTTCTTTATTGATTTTAGGAATAATGTCTTCTAATTAGTTTAAAAAATTTCACCTTCGGGCGGTCTATCGATGGTCTATTGATGGTTCTTGGTCTGTTACGTTTGTATTGACTGATACAATGAGTTCGTTCAATCACTACTTCACTTGGTATTTTTAGTTATTTTTTAAATCGATCTTTTACCGCTTTTTCGGAATCGTCTCAACTTTTTCCAAGTGTTTCTTGTAATTCATCTATTTTTAAGTTATTTCTTCTTGATCGATTTTCAAAATTTTTTTGTATATATATATTGACTTCATTGTCATAGCATTTTATATATATATTGACTTCATTATCATAGTATTTTTTTATTTGTAAGATGTCATCTTCTTGAGCTTGTTTGTGAGGTGTGATCTTTTTGAATTTATTTGTTAGGTGTCATCTTCAATTTATTTGTAAGGTGTCATCTTCTTGATAATTTTTGTGAGGTGTCAACTTCTTGAAAATTAAGAATGACTTTAATGCCATTAATATCTTTTTTAATATTCGAAATTTTCTATTTATTGTTGTTATTATCTTTTTCTACCGTGTCTAATCTATCGATAACAATTTTAAGGTTTGCACTCATTATTAAAGTGAATGTTTTTTTACTGCTCCTTAGTAACTGTTCTGCTTCTTTAGGTATGCTTTTTTGTGTTCATCAAGTTTATTTGAAATTATTTATTCAATAATATTCAATGTTCTTTATTTTTTATTTCCATTTTTAACTTGATGTTTTAAACTTTTTTTATTGTAAGTAAAAATGCGTCCGTATACCACGTATCACCACGCAAAAAAGAGCATCAATTCTCTGGTTAAGTTAAGATTACTGGGTAATAGAAGATTATATACTTGTTGCTTTTGAGCAATAAGATGAAATTACACTAGAATGTTAAAAGTTTTTTTAGAAAGAATATCATGGTTTATTCACTAGAAAGTTAGCCGAACTCTTTTAAAGTTCAAAATCAAATTCAAACTGAAAATCAAATCTTATAAAACTAAAATCTTATAAAACTATAAAATCTTAAAATCTTATACAACTTGAACTAAAAATCAAATCTTTTAAAAACGATATAATTTATGCTAACTTTGACAAGGAATGGTTAGACATGCCCAATAAGTTATTAAACGCGCCCAACGAGCTATTGAAGTATCGTTTTTTAAAAAAGGTTTTTGATGTGATTTTTTATTTTATTTTGGTTTTTTCAAAAGTTTTTTAAAAGTGTATTTTAAATGATAGATTCTATGGGATATTTGCGCATTGCTGTTTAATATAAACTTACATGAAATTTGTAGATAGAATTGTTTGATTTGATCTGAGAGGAGAGTTTGGTTACGAATTAAAATTAAAAAAATTATTTGATAACATGACTGAAGATAATAATGTTGATTATACAATATGTTGTCTATTTGATGAAAGTTCAAGTTTTAAG